ATGGCAGCTATACAAAAATAAAAAGAGACCCCACCAACAGCCTCGTCTCCAAAACCAACAACATCATTTCTGCTTCAACCGCATTAATTGATCAGACCAAACAGTTCTCGTTGAAACCTTCTGCAGCCAGGCCACCAAGATTGTACGGCTTGCCAAAGATACATAAAGAAGATACACCTCTTCGTCCCATTGTCTCTACTATCCACTCCCCCACTTACAAACTGGCTCGTTTTTTGTCCGAAATCCTACGGCCTTTCACTGGAAAAACCACCTCTGCAGTACTAAACTCTACTGACCTGGTATCGACAATCAAGGGGATTGCCCTGTCCCCAGACGACCTGCTTGTCAGTTTTGATGTGGTTTCCTTGTTCACCAAGGTGCCTGTGCCTGACACCATCGCAATCATTGAAGACTTGGTTCATCAAGGACTGAATGCTGGGGTACCCCCCCTGGTGAGACACTGCTTAACCAATACATACTTCACCTGGAATGGAACCTTCTACAAGCAAATTGAGGGCACCCCAATGGGCTCCCCCCTATCTCCGGTTGTAGCCAACATCTTCATGGAGAAATTTGAGACGGACGCCATCCAGACTGCCACTCTACGCCCGACCTTATGGAAGAGGTACGTAGACGACACTTTTGTCATCTGGCCACATGGCCGGCCTGCTCTAGACCAATTTCTCGACCACATCAATTCCATACACCCAGCCATCAGATTCACCATGGAAGTCGAAAATGATGGCAAGCTACCCTTTTTGGATGTCCTAATCAAAAGGAGACCTGATGGTTCAATGAGCCACTCTGTCTACAGGAAAGCCACCCACACGGATGCTTATCTAAAACCGGATTCCCACCACCATCCATCCCAGAAGAATTCCCTCATCAAGACTCTATATCATAGAGCCCAATGCATCTCCGACCATGAACACATTTCCAGTGAACTCAAACACGTACGCCAAGCTCTTAAGGCTAATGGTTACTCCGACTACACAATCCGCAAAGCCATCACTCCAACCATCAAGAAGGATCCTGTTGAGGAGCCTTTCAAGACCATCACCTTACCCTACATTGCTGGGGTCACAAAAAAGATCTCCAAAATCCTGATTAAACACAAGATCCAGGTCCGATTCAACACAGTACAAAAAATCCGTGATCTGGTCCCGTCTGTAAAAGATGTGGTTCCAGACATACAGTACCCTGGCGTCTACAAACTAAGTTTCCTCTGTGGTAGCAGTTACATTGGAGAAACCAAACGACATGTCTCGGACCGCATCCGTGAACATAAGGCAGACCTGAAACACGCTAGGACAAACACCTCAGCCGTGGCAGATCACTGTTACAATTCAGTGGGCTCACATGACATTGACTTCTCCAAGACAGAGGTTCTCTGCAAGCCATCTGGCTATCATGAGAGATTCGTTCATGAGGCGATCCACATATACAAACACAGAGACAATTTCAACCGAGAAGATGGATTCTGGCTTAGCAATCATTGGAAGGACGTAATAAACCATTTCGGATCTTAACTGATTGTGTTCACGTTAACGGTGACTTTCAGACCGCGTTCCACTCACTGGCATGGTGCAGTGTGCAGAGTAATGTATGGTGTCGTAATTGTACAGTAAACATATAGCAGTATGATACACATTAGGGTGGGTAGAATAATACATAGTGTTATATTAAAATGGATAAGGCAGCAACTGCAGCAGCAGCAGCAAGTGCAGCAGCAGCAGCAAGTGCAGCAGCAGCAGCAAGTGCAGCAGCAGCAGCAACTGCAGCAGCAGCAGCAACTGCAGCAGCAGCAGAAACTGCAGCAGCAGCAGCAACTGCTGCAGCAGCAGTAACTGCAGCTCCCTTTGATGCTGTTAATCCTGCATAATGCACATGCATATGCAGTACTAATTACATTCCTGCATTTCCCATAAATATGCTAAATTCCTGTTGATATGCAAATTCCTTTGTCAATGCGCCCAGCTTATATATATGCTCTAAGCCCGTGTGCTGTTTCATTCAGACTCTGTCGCCTCGACGGACCTGGTTTTCACCTGAGGACGGCTGCTTGCGTTGTGGCCGAAACGTCGTGAGAATTGTTTTATTATGTTTTATTTTTATTATTTTATTACTTCCCTTCTACGTGACTTTACCGAAAGAACCAAGAAGATATAAGGACTTGTTTCAGAAGCCTGTTTCTCACTCCCTCCTGAATACGGTTGCTTTTGTGGTGATCGAAAAGTCGTGATCTATTATTATTTTTACGTGACTTTACCGAAAGAACCAAAGAGTAGCAGATGATAACCCTCTAAAAAGAGAGTCACTTTATGATTTTCCAGTCTTGGTCCATCAAGGAAGCAGATAGAATCTCATTAGAGAGAGTAGATGATTGTGGTATAACATTACGGTATCCTTCAAGACAGAGCTGATGAATGACTGATATCTTTTTGGAAGGCAAGTTCATATGAATTATTAGAGAGATACAGTATATGTGTTAAGGTTGTGGCTGAACATATCATATTTGGCCATTACATTTTTAAATGACAGTGGTGGTTGATCAGGGTTCAAAAAGTCCCCAATTCTTTGTTGACCAGGCTGCCATGCATTCTGCTGCCCGCAAAACGTGCGGGTGCCCGGGGGAAATCCCACAGTGTGGTGGTTCCCAGACGCCATCAAACAAAACCGGAAGTATTACATCATCTGACACCATCACGTCGAAGCATGGGACCCCCCCCCCCCAAAGCGCGGGGCCCCGGGTGGTCGCCCAGATTCCCTGTGTACCCTAGGGACAGCTCTGTCTACAGCAGATTGTAACAGCTGTGATGCGCGGTGGTGTCCAATTCAAGCACTTCCCAGAATCAATCCTCCTTAGATATCGAGATATGATAATATTGGGTGAATTGCAGCAGGGGTTGTGTTTTTGAAAAACGGTGCATAACTCAAAATCTAAATAAAGGAAATGGTTGGGGTTAGGGAGAGCACGCTGTCTAACCTCATTCTTACGTCTACACATTTCACTGATTACAATACATTTTACATTTATAATACATTTATTAAAGATAGTATCAACTTATTTAAACAAATTACATTTAAAAATTACATAAACAAAAAATATGTTTTAAATGTGTAGTGTGTTTGTTATACGGAGACACACAATTGTTCTTGGAGGCAACACGTTTATTACAACACCCCAACAGGGTTCCTACGTAAACGTACACTGGTTCTACATCTAGGTGATAACTAGACGGTTAATTAGACCACAACGGGGTAACTACATACCTGGGTCAGTCAGCAACACACTGCCTGACCCACAATGCCGAGCGTAACATTGAAGACCGAAGATCGAGGATCGAAGAGACGTAGCACCGACGGATTCCATTCCAACTGGGCCCCGATCCCTCTCGGGACTGCCCCTTTATCCTGCTGAACGTGGCCTGGCTCCGCCCTCGGCCACGCCCTCCTTCTAAATCCTACCAGAAGGCTCTGGCTCATATCACGTGTCCCTCGAGCCCCTTTTCGGGCCCCCTTGCTCCCCTTACCCGGGGCACGTGCCCTCTCGGATTCACACAGAGTATCACGTCCTCACTTGCTCTCTCTCCGACCCTCAACAGAACTACGTCCCCTCGGGCCCGCTTCCATGTCATATCCACTCTGGTGCCAGAGAGAGACTCAGGATGCACAGTTCCACTCCTGTGACAGTAGCTGGTGCTAACCACCCTAGTGACTCCATATAAGTCACTACACATGTAGTGAGATGGTTACCGGATATATTGGTAGGCAAATGTGTGCACAAGACAAAGTTCACTCAGACAAGATCTTGAAAATAGCGCGCGAGGAGATGCTGATGCTGCCCGTGCTTGTGGTTGCCGTACTGCACTTCAGGCATTGCTACTGAACTTTGCTGCCTGACTAACGATTATCTCGCAGCGTATTCCGTACGTCATGGCCAACACGCTTGAGCGGGAAGGACAATAATAGTTCCCACATAACAAACATAAGTGTCAATCTAACACGCTATTTCAAAATCGCGTTACGTAAACGCGCGTAAAACGAGAGGCGACTGAAATAGTAACAGGCAATTGGAATATAATTAGAGTTAGGTGCTATGGCCGCAGATCATTGCTACTGGATAGAGAACTGAATTAGATATTACAACTGTGACTTATATGTTCAGAAATTAACTTGCTTTTATTATGGAGCCCAAGGACAGAACACGTTATTGCCAGGCATGCCTGCATGCTTTGCAGGGTCCATTAACAAATAATTTTTGTTTATACTCTTAGGTTTTTTCGGTAAAGTCACGTAGGTAAAAAAATTCACGACGTTTCGGAGGCAACACAAGCATCCGTCTTCAGGTGGAACCGTCACAGCCACGACAGCTGTATCATTTACTTGATACAGCTGTCGTGGCTGTGACGGAGGCTCGTGTCCGAAACGTTTAACTGGTCTAATTGTCACACTTCCGAATAAAACATGGTTGGTTATATAAGGTGAAAAATAAGTTCAAGATACATTAAATTAAATGTGACCAACAGTTTTGTTTCATCATTATCAAGAGCCATGGCCAATCTACTGCTGGATGAAAGCCGCCTAAAGCTGCTGCCATCTCTCACGATCGGAAGTATAATAATAGTTCCTACACACGAACTGGTTTCAAGTATTTGGCGACACATAAGCCACGTCGTTGAGCGATTTGTGGATAGGTCGCTTCTGAAAAAGAGCTATATATAGCTCAGTGGGCCTTACCTGGTAAAAAAAGAAATAGTTTTAATAGTTTAGATTTCATTGTTCCATTTCCTCGATAGATATCTTCTTGGATGCGTTCCATTCCTTGACGAGAACACCTTAATTATTCTTGACCATCATCCATCATCCCTTGGAGCGACACTTACTCCCCAAGCCAGCTTACCTTCGTAACAGTTTTCATGATGTATGTATGTTGAACTTGTTTAGCACTGGACATAGCCCACCATGCTAATGGGATGTGCGGGGGAAGGACAACAAACTAAAAGTGAATAATTCCAGGAGCTTCCTAATATTTGGAAGGAAAAGGGTTCCTGACGGCCGCCAAAGGGCATCGAAAACGTGCGATGCAGTGAAAATGTAATTCACTCGATTGTGTTCTCTAGCCCACGTTATCCTCTTCCTGTCTCTCAGTGTAATTACAAGCATGCACCTTTCAGTTTTGTTCCATGAAAAAATATCTCGTGAAATGTCCACATTTGTGAACCATGTCGTGAACACAGTTTTATTTGTAATAGATTTATATTTACACGGCTTTGAAAGCAGAAAACAAATACATAAACATAATAAATGCATTATTAAAACAATACAATCGCAAAAACGTGTAATCAACGACAGTGGCATAAATTAAACGACAATTTTAAAAATAAACGCAGCATAAACCACAAAGGGCTGCCTTGTTCAAAGACAAAGATCCCCCGTAGACACTCAACAGAAATTTGGGTCAAGTGGTTCGGCCAGCACCAGGCTCGGCCGTCATTGTCTCCGTAGTGGCGATGTTTACACACCGTACCAGGCACTTATTTAAGGCCGAGTCGACCTAGGGGAGGCCCAGGACCAGTTCAGATAATTGACACTGGTGTCGGCCGCGAGCGGGAAAGGAAGTCGGGTCACTGGGTTCGTAGCGCAGCACGCTAACCGATATACACCCGGTATATATAATTAATAGGCAACGTTTCGGGCGACCGCCCTTCTACGCACACGTGGTCTGATGCACAATTCTTTGTCCTGCATATAAAACTTGATATGACCCTCCTGGAATACTCTTGGGACCGAGCAAGGCTTTCCTCTATGTAAACAAGCGTAACTATAGTATTAATAATGGAATAATCTACTCTCATTTCATTCAAATATACATTCTTGCCGTGGTGGTCGTCCATCTTCACAGTGGTTGTCCTGTCCGGCACGTTATCTCCTCGTGTTGCAATGCAATCACGTGGGTCCTACTATCGCAATGGCTCCTACCAACGACTCTGGGAGTCTGAATTAGCATTTCCGATTTCTCAGCATAATTTGCAGCCATGCACAGCTCCGTAATTCGTAGCTGGACGTACTCTGCACTGGCTGAAAAGGTACTTTAAAGGCACATGGGTCGTTTGCTTTTCACTCCGGAGTTTCAGCTTTCCGAAACCCCTCCACCAAATAGTCGACCAGCCTGTCGCGCGTCCACATCGCCTATGTCTTCAGAGCCCGATCAAATATGTACCACTTTGTATAAACATATAACCATCATCATCATCTCTATGGCGTTAATTAAATGATTGGCACTACTTTGTCAAAAAGCCAAATGTAGTTGTATCCCTGGTAGAGACCATCTGTGTCACTGATGCCTGTTGGAATGGCCACGTATTCTCAACTCTAAAAAATATAGGGGGGGAGGGTTACTACACAGCAAAATGGAAGCCGTCGAGAGGAAACTGCAGCATGCGGGCCGCTGCATGCAGTACCCCGCGGCCCCGATTAATACGCCCCAGGGCCACACAAGGCCTGCCACTTCGAAACAGCCCCCCCCCCCCTCAAACGACCTTTGCTCGCGTTACCGCAAGCGTCTTAGCCGCACTAATCGGATACTAGAGGGTGGATATATTTGGCATGGAAACAACACTGTGTGAATGTAATTTTTTTATGTCCTGCTCAGTCACTTGTTCGTAATAAAGGGGTTTCTTTTTTGGTTAGATCGCGTCAATGTAAATGTGTCGTTAACCCACCACCACCCGACACAGCCACTAGGTAAGGTTCGTCACGTAAAGCGAAACGTGCCGATTAGCTACCACCGGTGTGTTGGAGAGTAAACCCATAAAATGTACGATTTGAGTACTATGTTTCGCTGGTGATTACAACTAGCTTCATCAGGCGATTTGCCATAATTGTGAAAAAGTCTTCATGTTTCCGCGCTTAAATAGAGTAGTAAGATGATGTCATCACAGTGCTAAACTCAGTCACTTGTGTCACTGTAATGGCCCCTAAGTAAAGTGGAAAGCTTCTCCACCCCCACCCCGGCTTAGAAGATGGGGACAGGAAAAGCTCAGATGCGGTTCAGCGTGAGGGCGACGTTGAGTTTGTGAAAGTACGAGCGGAGCTTGCACAGCGGGCAACTTCGGCTCTTCTCTCGCGCCTCCGCTCTCCTCTTCTCCGCCTGCATCTTCCTCTCGCGCTGCCTCTCTCTCTGCCGAGCCACCTTTTGTCTCATTTTCTGCTGAAGTCTCTTCTGCTTCTGCTGCTGCTGCTGTTTCTTTTTCAGATGCTGCTTTTGGTGCTGCTGCTTCTGCTTCTGAGACTGGTGATTGTTTTTCTGTGGTGGCTTCTGCTGTTGTTTCTGCTTTTGCTGCTCCTGAGTCTGATGATTGTGTTTTTGTGGTGGTGCTGGTGTCTTCTGCTGTTGTCCTTTCTGCTGCTGCTGACGATGAGCCTTAACACGCTGCTTTTGCTGATGCCGCTGCTGTTGCTGCTGCCGCTGCTTTGTCGTCGTTTGGTTGACGTTGGGAACCTTTGCTGATGACGATGACGACGGTGACGATGATAATGTGGAACCTTGAGACGGTGGTGACGGTTGGGATGACGATGATGTCGCTACTTCCAATGAAGATGACTCTTCTGATGATTTTGATGTTGTTGATTCTGATGATGACCCTGATGATGGTGATGACCCTGATGATGGTGGTGGTGAGGGGGCAGGGTCCCAGGGAAGCCACGCTCCGCCTGTGAGGCCCGGGTCAGCTCGCCGGTCGTGAGGAGGGAACCACACGGGCACCGCTGAGCGGTTGTACGCAGCGAGACGGAGCAGCAGACCTGGGAGGTGGGGAGGGGCGAGACACCACAAGGGGGAGGGGAGAGAGACCGGGGTCAGAGGTGGGGCAGTGGTGAAGGTGGTAGAAAGTGGGAGTGCATAGTCATGTGATTGATTTATTATGATGACAATGATTTGAGATCCCCTGGTCGATAGGCTCGCGTTATGGAAGGAGCCAAATGAGCTGTTTGGCACGATTCCCGTTGCGTACTTGCTGTGATATTCAGTCCATGTGATTTGTTGGTAGTTCTTCCTATGTGTACGTAATTGCAAGTGTGTGTTTGTGGGGGGGGGAGCCGTAGTTTAGTAGTTAGTGTTCCGCACTATAAACTCAGCGACCCGAATTCGATTCCCGCTCGCGGCCACCACCAGTGACAATTATCTGAACCGGTTCTGGGCATCCCCTAGGTCAACTCAGCCTCAAATGAGTACCTCATGCGCTGTGTGAACATCGCCACTGGGGAGACAAAGTCGGCTGGGCGTGGTGCTGGATACCCACCCCCTCCTGTGCCATGCGGCCCTACATAAGTGCTCGCTAACAGCGCTTACCCGAAAAGTCTGTTCACGCTATACGGGGGAATCTTTGTGTGTGTCTCTGGGCGCGTGTCGAGTGGTGGCGCAGTGATTTGCACACTGCACCCAAGAGTAGGCCATTGCGTGCTGCCACCAGGGTCCAATTTTTTGCCAAATTCGAAAATCACACCGCAAATTTGTTCATTGGGATCATACACCGATATCGATTATCGCCTTCTTCCGGTAGACCAATGCCTCCAAGTCGCTCTTGTAAACGAGACTCATCCCGGTCTCATGAGTCCTCACATTCTTGAAACGTGTCGAAGGGCAGTATACAGTCGACCCTTCCACATCGCGGGGGTTAACGCCACAGGCCACTCGCGATTTGGAAAATCCGCGTAAAAAATGTTGATCCCCTTGGCAAGCAAAGCGAGCACCTCCAGCCGGAGAGTTCGGGGGGGGGGGTGCTGCGAGCCTTTGCGTGTCGTCTGCTGGCTTTCGCGTTCTTTTCGCAAACTTAAATTTGTACAAAATTTGACTTAAAAAAAAATTCGTATATTTATGGTATTGAAAGATAAAATACATTAATATACCAGTACTGACATTTTATGCATTTGAGTTACTAAAAATTTTGCGTGTCGTCTGTGGCTTTCGCAAATCTCCCAAAAACTCCCAAAGAATTCCCATTTTATTTCTTATGCCGACCCCGCGATATATCGAAACAGCGATGGGGAAAGTCGAGATGCAGAAGGGTCGACTGTATTCCCACACCCCCCCCCCCCCCTTATCTTGTAAATAGCGTCCATTCTAAATAAACAACGCACGAGATAATGCATTGTGAAAGGGGTTAAGAATGCGGAAAAAAATTTTCGATTTAAAGCTTTCGTGACTGCAGGGATTCATCTTCTTGGTTCTTTCGGTAAAGTCACGTAGAAGGGAAATAATAACAGCCCTGTTCTTCACCTGAGGACGGCTGCTTGCGTTGTGACCGAAACGTCGTGAGAATTGTATTTTATTATGTTTTATTTTTATTATTTTATTATTTCCCTTCTATGTGACTTTACCGAAAGAACCAAGAAAATGGGGAACATGTCACGTGTCAGTTGATTGGAGGGGCGCGGAAAACTGTGCAGACGAGATTGGAAAGAGAGCGAGAGTGGAGAAGATGCATGGATGTCGAGGCTACAGAGAAGATAATATTCATGTTGGCTTACTTACCTAGGAAAGCCACACTGAGTTTGAAGGGTCCGTTTCAGGGGGAGGGGGATCTTGTATTAGATGGAAATGTTCGGCCAATACCGGTGACATTGCATGTTTTACTTGCTTAACTATGGCAGGAAACCAGATAAACCCTGATGAAACACGTGCATAACAGGGGGATAGAACGTACAATAGGCACCCGAGTCATACATCGAACCCTGGTCGTTCTGGCTTTGTGGCACGACTTTTTACCACCATACTCCTCTTGTGGTGTAGGCTGGAGAGAGAGAGAGAGTGGACAGGCACGACGGAAAGTACAGAAAGTAGGTCCGCTGCCTGTTAGTGCATCTCACCCAGCACCACCTCCGGGTAGAGCGAGGAGACGTCGTGTCGCTCATAGGGGTCGGCCGAGATATTGAAGAGCCACAACATCTTCACCTCCTCGCCGCCATCGTCGCTGCCGCCACTGTCAACGTCACTGTCATCGTCGTCATCGTCATCATCGTAGTCGTCATCGTCGTCATCGTTGGTCACTTGCACGTGGCGGTGCCACGCGCGGTCTCCTTTGAGTCCCGGAGTCGATGCAGGTGTTGCCGGTGCTGCTCTGCCTCCACCATCCTCCTCCTCCACCTCCTTCTCCTCCACCAACTGCTCCTCCACCTCGTTCACCGACTCTGCCTCCTCCAACACCTATTCCACCGCCTCCTCCTCTTACACCTCCTCCACTGCTAACTCTTCCGCCACCTCCTCCTCCTCCTCCTCCTCCGCCTCTGTCTCCTCCAGCGACACCACGACCACCACCTTTATCGCCTCCTCCTGCTTTACCTATATCTGCACTATCATCACCCCTTCCTCCTCCTCCACCACCTTTACCCCTTTTTTCTCCACCATCACCCCTTCCTCCCCCTCCTCCTCCTCGCGGCGGTGCCGAGTCCTTCACCGGGAACCCCACGAAGCCCACCCCGACCACCGCGCTGTGGCTGCCCGTCATCTTGGTCACCTTGCTCAGCAGGTATGCCGTCACGGGAGCGCTCCTGGCGCTCGAGTGGCCCTTGCTACGGCTGTCGTTACTCCCGCAGCCGTGCGCACACGTGCTCGGGCTCTCGGTGCCGTTCTTCGCATGGCTGTCGCTTTGATGGCCGTCTCTCCCGTCGCTGCTGCTATCCCGTAGAGTCACGGCACCCCGGTGAGCGTTGCTGCGGTTGCCGTTGCTGGGATGGCTGTTGGTTAAGCTGCTGTCGCCACGGTGGCTGTTACTTCTGTCTGCGTTGCCGTTGCTCCCGTTGCTGCTCCTCGCATTGCTGTTCCGCGGACTGTTGTCGCCTTGAAGCAACTTTCTCCTCTTGCTGTTGCTGTGCGTTCTCATCGTCCCATTGTTGTCACCCTGGCCGCAGTGCCGTTTGCTGTCCCTGCAGCTGAACCCGGGCCCAGTGCGATCCTTGCCCCCAGCTGGGCTCAGCTTGCTGTCCACGTGCCGCTGCAGCAGCTGCTGCTGCAGGATGTAGTTGCTGCTGTCGATGACGTTGCTGTTCGTGTAGTGGCTGGGGAATAATCTTGTCTCGAGATTGCCGCTCGGCGACGCTGATGATGACGACCCTGATGATGAAACAGAAGAATGAGACAAAGACAACGAGGATGATGATGATGCCCTCGCCTCTTCCTCCATCACTGCCCCTCTCCTCCCTCTCCGGCTCCTTTTCTTCTTCCCTTTCCTCTTCCTCCTCTCGTCCTTCCCTCCACTGCCCTTGCTGCCCTTGACGCTCTTGCCGCTGTTGCCGCCCTTTGCGATCCTCGCTCGCGAGTAGGAACGCCTCTCCAGGTTCCACCAGCGGCCCTGGAGCTCCGGCCCCGTCCGAACGGGGACCCAGTCGCCGTGACCCGGATCCCCGGTCAGCAGCTTCCAGGACCCCGAGCGCAGCGCGGCGGTCACGTGGCAATCCCAGACGCCCAGGCTGCACGCCCAGTGCGAGGAGGAGGGCGATGATGACGAGGAGGATGAGGAGGACGAGGATGAGAGGGAGGGGCCGACCCTCTGTCGCTGAACGATTGCATGTCTAGAAACGCGCTGTGGTGGTGGGTGGGTGGAGTGAGATGTGAGCAGGTGAAAGGTGATCGGTGAGTGGTGGCGACGAGCCAGGTCAGGGGGTCGTAGGTGATTTGTGAGTTGGCACGGTTGAGGCGTTGGCAGGTGACAGGCGATGTGACGGGTGAGTGGTGAGAGATAATGTGTCGGCAGTGAGGAGTGCAAGGCGATCGGTGAGGTGAAGAGTAAGGGATCGGAGGAGATAGGTGAGATGACAGGCGAGGGATGATGTGATGGGTGAGTGGTGAGAGATGACATTGCAGATCAGGGGTGAGAAAGCAAGGGGTGAGCAAGGAGTTTGGCACGGTGAGAAGGGTGGCAGGTGAGAGCAGGTGAACAGGTTAGCGAGTGGACAAGAGAGATTTACAGAGATAATCATCATTATTTGCATTGTATTCAGAATATTTATTGAAACTGGAAGGATCCGATTGACTATAACACTCTTTTTCACAGATGTCCAGTAGGGGACGGGTAACACACAAATAATACAAAAACGCGATCGGAGTGCAAAGTAGCAAGTCGCTAATTAGAAATAAATTATTTGTAAATTATACTCGCAGTTTGCTCTGTGCAATTGATGCCACGTGGACAGTTGTTTTACCAGGTAAGGTCCACTGAGCTCCTTTTCAGAAGCGACCTGGCCACAAATGATAGCTCAGCGAAGTGGCTTATCATGTGGCATTTATAGCATCCAAATACTCTCAATGCTATGACCTGGAGAAAAATCCACGCAAGCACGAGGAGAACATGCAAATTCTAAATATATATGCGTCAGGGTCGGATTCGGACCCACGACTCTCTGAACACCAGGCGAGGTAGTTAACATCTAGCCACCATGGCGAGATGTTCGCGCAGTGTGCCGGAGCGGGCCACCAACATAAGGACTCGGACACTCACCTTCATCGGGTTGATGTTGTGTAGAATTTCCTTCCGTGGCGACTCACTGCCCTGGCAGATGACATCCCACACGTCAAAGCCGTCCAGAGGCAGGAGCAGCCGGTCTGATCCCTCACCAGTACCGTCTGATCCTCCACCAGCGCCATTCCCACCTTCTCGCTCGTCTCCTTTGCCACGTCCTCCTGCACTGTCCCCTTTTCGTCTGCTCGCACCTCCTGTCCCTTCTCCTCTCCCACCTCCAGCCACATCTACTCGTGTGGTCCCATCTCCTCTCTGACCTCCCGTCATAGCGTTTCTGTGTTCTCCTTTCCCACCTGTTATCCCATGACCTGCCACACCTTCTCGTCTGGCCCCACCTCCGCTCCCATCCCTCTGATTTCTTTTCCCATCACCTCTCGCGTCTTCTGTCCCACCTTCTCTCCCACCTCTCCCCTGGCCCCACGACCCTTGGCCCACCCTCCCATCTCCCGTTTCACCTCCCCTCCCACCACCTGCGGCCACATCCGCCCGTCCGGTCCCATCTCCATGCCAGTCTCCTCCCTTGCCATCTGTCCCGTCTCCTTCTCCGTCTCCTCCGGCTCCTCCGTCCCCTCCTTCCGCCAGCCTCCTTTTCCTCCTCCTCGCCGCGAAGAAGGCGGGCAGGTCGACCCCGGCGAGGCGAGCCAGGGTGGGGAACCAGTCGGTGACATGGATGAGCCCACGGCTCACGGAGCCCTGGCGCCGCGCCGGGATGAGTGGGCTGTGCACGAAGCCGACGGCACGCATCCCGCCCTCCCAGTAGCTGCCCTTGCGGCCCCGCAGTGGCCAGTTGCTGCCCCCGATGTACGGCTGCCCCCCGTTGTCCGTGGAGTACACGATGACGGTGTTGTTGTAGTAGCCGTAGCGCTAGGAGGGAAGATGATGACGGCGTTACCGACGTTGGCAGCGTTGCCCTAGGAGAGCCTAATTTATCTTTCAGACTCAAAGACTCTTGTGCAGTTTGGAGGCGATGTTGCCAACTGGGTACAATGAGCGCACCCGCAGTATTGACCAGGGCAGCCACACCGGTCAACCCGCAGACCTCTGCAATGGGTGGCAAAACGAGCGATGCCCGTCGTGATCACCACACGGTTGTTATTGGTGTCACCATCGTCATGGTTATCGTATTTACCAACATCATTGTTACCAGCACCATCATCAGTCAAAAATGATGACAATGGGGGGCATTGGTTAAACATCTGAATGTATCAGGACCCTTCTGAAAAGGAGTCTTGAGACTCGTCAAAGCTCTCCCGGGTTTATAAATCGCGTGGTAATCATCAACGTGGTGATTGTGGTGGTTTCTGTCGGTGCTCATGGTGGAGTCGCGCAGCACGTGATGGTTATTGTAGTTGTTGTCATGCTGCTGTGACCTGCAGTGCTCTGAGTGGATGAGCGGGTGAGTTGATGGGCGAGGGAGTGAGTAGGTAAGTGGGTGAGTCGGTGAGTAAGTGCGCGAGTGGGTGAGTGTATTGTTGAGTGGTTGATCAGTATAAATGAGTAAGTGGGCGAGTAGGTGAGTGGGTGTTTTGTTGAGTGGTTGAGAGTACAAATGAGTGAGTGGATGAGTGCATTGTTGATCGGTTGAGTGGTTGAGAGTACGAATGAGTGAGTGGATGAGTGCATTGTTGATCGGTTGAGTGGTTGAGAGTACGAATGAGTGAGTGGGCGAGTAGGTAAGTGAGCGAGTGGGTGAGTTCTTGCGACCTGCAGTGTGGTGGTAGTGGTGGTGGGGTTGGGGGTGATGGATGGCCAGTCCGGTGAGCCCCAACCCTCGGCACAAGTGGAAGGAGTCGGTGAGCGACGTTCAAACGGAGTGGCAGAGGGCGCAGAGGATTTTGACGACGGATGTTGAGGAAGAGGAGGTGCCCTCACCTTGAGTGCGCGCGTGATGTTCCTCACAGCCTCGTCCAGCGCGGTGACCATGGCGAGGTGCCTGCGACGCTCCACGCTCCAGAGATGCGCGTAGGGCAGCACGAAGCGGCGCGGAGCCTGCGCCGGGGCGTGCGGCGCGCGGAACGCCACGTACACGAACATCGGCTTCTGCTGCTGCTGCTGCCCTCCTGCCTGCTGCCCTTCTCCCTGATGTTGTTGCCCTTTTACCTGCTGCTGCTGCTCTGCCTGCTGCTCTTCTGCCAGATGCTGCCCTACTTCCGGCTGCTCTCTGGCCTGATGTCCCCCCTGATGCTGCCCTCCTGCCTGCTGATGCCCTGCTCCCTGATGCTGCCCTCCCTGGTGCTGCTGTCCTCCACTCTGGCTGCCCTTCTCTCTGGTGCTGCTGTGCTCCTGTTTGCTGCCCGCCTGCCTGATGCTTCTGTTGCTGCCCTTCTCTCTGATGCTGCTGCCCTCCACTCTGCTGCCCTCTCTGGTGCTGTTGCCCTCCTGTCTGCTGCATCTGCGGCTGCCCCTCAGTCGGATTCTCCTGCCCGCTTGTCTGCTGTCCTCTGTTCCGCTGCCCTCCTATCTGCTGCATCTTCTGCTGCTGCCCTCCTGCCTTCTGCTCCTGCTGCTTGCCCTTCTCCCTGCTGCACCTGCTGCTCGTGCTGCTCTGTTACCAGCTGCCATCCTCCCTGCTGTTTTTGCCACTGCTGCTGCTGCGCTCCTTGCCGTTGCATCTTCTGCTGCCTTTTTACTTGCTTCCCTTTGTCCTGCTGCGCCTGCTGTTGCTGCCCTTTTGTCTGCTGCCATCCTGTATGCTGCCCCTCTCCCTGTCGATTATTCTGCTCTCCTCCTCCTCCTTGTTGCACCTGCTGCTGCATCTGCCCATTTGCCTGCTTCTCTTCCCTCTGCTGCTGTCCTTTTGCATGTTGCATCTCACGCTGCCCTCCTGTCTTCTGCTCTAGCCCCTGCTGCAACCGAGACTGCCCTTCTCTCTGATGCATCTGTTGCTGACCTCTGCCCGCCACTGCCCTCAGCACACCCATTCTCGCGGGCAGCGCCCGGGCCCCGCGCCACTGCTGCCCGCTACTCCGCTTCGCTGCCCACCTTCCACGCCTTTGCCCACGCTGCCCCACCGCCACCTGTTGACCCCTTCGTTTTTGCTGTCCACGCTGCTGCTGCTGTTGCTGCCCATGTAGCTGAAACTGCCCATGCATCTGCTTCCCATTGTGTCGCAGCTGCTCGTGTGGTTGCTGCTGCTGCTTTTGTTGATGCAGCTGTTGATGCCCAATTAGTTGCAGCTGCGCACGTGATTGCTGTGGTTGCTGCTGCTGCTGCTGCTGCTGGACGCGTGACTGCTGTTTTTGATGCCGATTTAGCTGTTGCTGACCGTGTAGCTGCCGATGATGATGATTGTGCTGCTGCTGTTGCTGCTGGTGCTGTTGTACACCTAACTGCTGCTGCTGTTGTTGCTTCTGATGTTGCCCCTGCTGCAATTAGCTGTGCGTGTAACTGCTGCTGCAACTGTTGCTGCAACTGTTGCTGCTGCTGTTGTATGTGTAACTGCTGTTGCTGTAGCTGTTGCTGCTTCTGCTGTTGTACATGTAACTGCTCCTGTAGTAACTGCTTCTTTTGTTGCTGATCCTGCTGCCCCTGCTGCTGTTGATGCTGCTGCTGATGCTGCTGCTGGTGCTGCTGCTGTCCCTTCTGCTTCTGCTGCTGTGCCTTCTGCTGCTGCCCGTGTTGCTGTTGTTCCTTCTGCTGCTGCTGTTCCTGCTGTTGTTTGTTCTGCTGCCCAGGCTGCTGCTGATGCTGCTGCTGGTGTTGCTGCTTTCCCTCCTGCTGCTGCCCCCGCTGCTGCAGCTGTTCCTGCTGATGTCTCTGCTGCTGCTGCCCCTTCTGCTGCTGCCCAAGCTGCTGCTCCTGTCCCTGTGGCTGCTGTCCTTGCTGCTGTCCCTGCTGCTTCCCCTGTTGGTGTCCCTTCTGCTGTTGCCCAGGCTGCTGCTGCTGCTGTCCCTGCTTCTGTCCCTTCTCATGCTGCTCCAGCTGCCCCTGCTGCTGCCCCTGCTGCTGCCCGTGTTGGTGTCCCGTCTGCTGTCCCTTCTGCTGCTGTCCCTGCTGCTGCTGCCCCTTCTGATGCTGCTGCCGCTGCGGCTGTTGTCTCTGCAGCGGCTGCTCCTGCTGCTGCTGCCCCTGCTTCTGCCCCTGCTGCTGTCCCTGCTGCTGGTGTTGCTGCTGCCCATGCTGCTGCTGTCTCTGCTGCTGTTGCTGCCCCTGCTGCTGCTGTTGTTTCTGCTGCTTGTGCTGCCCCTGTTCTCCCTGCTGCTGTTCCTTCTGCTGCTGCTGCTGCTGTCCCTGCTGCTGCTGCTGGTGCTGGCCCTGCTGTCTCTGCTGCTGCCCCTGCTGCTGTCCCTGCTGCTGCTGCCCCTGCTGCTCCCCCTGCTGCCCCTGCTGCTGCCCCTGCTGCTCCCTCTGCTGTCCCTGCTGCTGGTGCTGGCCCTGCTGTCTCTGCTGCTGCCCCTGCTGCTGTCCCTGCTGCTGCTGCCCCTGCTGCTCCCCCTGCTGCCCCTTCTGCTGCTGCTGGCCCTGCTGCTGCCCCTGCTGCTGCCCCTGCTGCTGCCCCTGCTGCTCCCCCTGCTGTCCCTGCTGCTGGTACTGGCCCTGCTGCTGCCCCTGCTGCTGCCCCTCCTGCTGCTGCCCCACGTTGCCCTCCCTCCAGTGCTGCTCGAGCAGGCGCAGCACAGCGCTCGTGTAAACCTCCGTAGAGTAGCTCCCCGCCGCCTCGTAGTCCGGGGTCTCTCCATCGGAGTGGTCGTAGCCACACAGCAGCCCCGCACCACCGCCAGCACGGGTCTTCCCTCTCAGCCTCACCGCCGCTGCCGCCACCCTCCCCAGATGGAAGAGACCCGGCTCTCGACCTGCTTCTTGCGGAGACTCGGGGTGCTCGTGGTGGTGCTGCTGCTGCTGGTGGTGGTGGTGATGGCGGTGAGGCTCCCGTGTGGCCTCGTCGTCGTTCTGGTCGGAGTGGACCTCGGAGGGCCTTGCAGGAGCAGCAGCCGTGCCGGAGTCTCCACCTCCCCGGGACCCGGCCCTCTTGCCAGGGGCGCCGCCCGTCCCTGTGGCGGTTTGGTCATCGTTAGGTGAAGAAGAGATGGAGGAGGTGGACGGAAAGGAGGAAGCTGGGGGAGAGGAAGACGATGTTGACCGAGGACGTCTCCAATGTTGCCTTCTTGTGGACAGAAGTTTTCAATTTCATCTTCTTCATCTCCATCATCTTCATCTTCGTGTCTGCTCGCCTCCCTGCCCCTCCCGCATGACTCGCTCGCCACGGCTGAGGGGCTGGTGGTGATGACAATTTCAATTTAGCTTCCTGCTTCTTCGTTTGACCTCGTTTGAAGCTGCTGATGCTGCTGCTGCTCGAGCCTTTGTCAATTCCTCGTGCAGGAGCATTCCTTCCACTTTGAAACTCTGCTGCCCTCTCATCATCAGCAGCAGCATCACCCTCCTTACCACTTGCTCCTCCAATTACTGCTGCTGCTGCTCCTGCTGCTGCCCTTGATCCTAAGTCTGCCCCTGCTGTCCTAGTTCCTGCCTTTGATGCTGCTGCTACATCTACTGCCCATGCTATATCTCCTGCTGCTGCCCCAGACGCTGCCCGCGGTGTGCTGGCCACTCCTGCTGCTCGCGATACGCCCGATGCCGCTTCTCTCGCCGCTGCAGCCCCAGACGCCTGGCCCTGTTGCTCCCGATATGCCCGCTGCCCTCGACGCCGGGTCTACCGCCGCCGCTGCCCCAGATGCTGCCTGTGGCACGCCCAGCGCCGCTGCTGCCCCCTTCCCCTCCGCTGCCGCAGACGTTGCCCCGTCGGCAGGCGGCGGAGCCGGCGCCCCCCCCTGCGGCGCAGGCGGTGTGCGTGAAGTGGTCGGCGCTGCCCGTGAGCGAGCCCAGGAAGGAGTCGAACCCGCGGCTCGTGGGGAGGCATTCACGGCGCCAGAAGCCCAGGTGCCACTTGCCCACGGCGTGCGTGGCGTAGCCTGCGCCCTCCCGCAGCGCCTCGGCCAGAGTGGGCACCTCCTGCTGGCAGGCACGACGGCTGGCGGGCACGGATTATGGAGTGCTGCATCCCCGTGTGGATCTGGTACCTGCGAGGTGAGGGGTGTCAGGGGGCGTCGGAGGGTGGGCGAGTGGGAATGGGTGGGGGGGGTGTGGGTGGAGAGGTGGGTGAACAGTTGATTCGCGAGATGTTAACTACCTCGCCTGGTATGCACGAGGTCGTGGGTTAGATCCCGATCCTTACGCCTGATATATATATTTGGAGTTGGCATGTTCTCCCCGTGGTCGCGTGGATTTTCCTCTGGATCTTCCGGTTTTCCCCTGCACATTTAGAATCAACATCACGTGTTTAGAGTAAATGGCTGCTATAAATGTCCACACGATAAGCCACTTCGTTGAGCTATCATTTGTGGCCAGGTCGCTTCTTAAATAAGAGCTTATAGCTCAGTTGGGTCTTACCTGGTAAACTAAAATAAAACATAGTTTCTAGTTTAGTTTCTTCTGGGTTTTACTGCCACAGTTGATGAGCACAAGGCCCAAAAGTCCCCAAAAAACCATCGAGCGGTGACAAACGGTGAAGTCTGTGAAAAGTAAACACGATCAAAAGACCATTGGAACCTCATTCGCCAGTAAAAAATATGATAATTGTTTTTTTACCCTTCCATGTGGCAACAAAACTGACGCCTTTTTTACAAGGAGTCATGTTTGCATAGACCACAATACCTGCAGTCATAATGCAAACAAAAAACATAATGTGCACTGTCCTTGAAGTTGATTGATCCACACCCGAGACAGCTTTCCTTAGAGCCTAGTCTCACATGGGTTGGACCAGATGCGCCTTTTAGCGCATCTGGTCCATTATGACTGCAGGTATTGTGGCCTATGCAAACATGACTCCTTGTAACAAAAAGTGTCAGTTTTGTTGCCAGATGGAAGGGTAAAAAACCAATTATCACGATCAAAAGAGTTCACACCGTTTCTTGCGTTGAGCAAGATGATGGATTGATTTGGTAGAGTGTTGGTCAATTGATCAGCTGTTTGGTCGGCTATTTAGTGGCCATTCACTTTGGGTTTTTTTAATTAGATTTATGCAATGCTCAGTCTGCTCTTCAATGTATCATCGGCCGTTTAATATAATCGATGAGTAAATGAGTTGGTCACTTATTATACCGAAAATGAATCTGTCGATGAGAGTCTCTTGCTACTTGAGCAGATAATAATTCAATTCATTGGTAGAACATTCCACCAGTGAGCTGATGACTCAATAAATGAGTTGACTCATCAGTTAATCGGTAATTGATTGATGAATAGCTTAAATGAATTAGTCAGGCGGTCAAGCATTTAACTTGGTCAACTCACTGATCACTTGGTCGGAATCAGCATCGGATCCGATAATCAATGAAACTCTTTTTCACAGACGTCCACAGTCACTCGATCAGCCAGGTAAATGTAGCCAATCGAGTGGTCAACCTGACAATTGGTCCGTCGTTGGTCACTCGTTGAACTGGTCCGTTACACTCGGTGAATGACGCGATAACCTACCGGCCCGTGAGCAGCTGGCTCCTGGTTGGGGTACAAATGGGCTGCACGTAGTAATTCTCCAAGCGCACCTGCACGCACGCAAAGACAAAGATCCCCCCGTACAGCCTTAGCAGACTGTTGGGGCAAGTGCTGTTAGCGAGGAGCACCTATGAAGGCCGGCACGGCACACGAGAGGGTGGGTGGCCAGCACCACGCCGGGCCGTCTTTGTCTCCCGAGCGGCGATATTTAGACACCGCAGCCAGGTACCCATGTGAGGCTGAGTCAACCTAGGGGAGGCCCAGGACCGGTTCAGATAATTGTCGCTGGTGTTGGTTGTTGTGAGCGGGAATCGAACTCGGGTCACCGGATTTGTAGCGCGGTGCGCTAACCGCTGCATGACCGCACGCTTTCACGGAAGGGTTTTATTTCCTACAATTCAACGGTTTAAAAGCATTTTTTTTACAATAATATGTATAAAAGGCGAAGGATGTCTGCAACAACTCAACTGGCTCCCAATTATACGTTGCTCTATCAAGAGTCAGATCACTTAGTGTAGTGTCGGAAAATAACCCAAAATTGACAATTGTGTCTTTAGAGAAATCTTTGATTTAAAAAATATTAGTTAAAAAATAATAATTGTGTGAATGTTTAAATAAGATATGCTAGATCAGCGTATGTTACGCCGGGTAGAGCTAGTATATATTTTTTATTAACTCTGAAGGTGGGGGGCAGCTCAACCACCCTCCCCTTATTCCGCAGCAGTCCCTTGAATATATATCAATAATTATTTTTTTACTCGGAAAAAAAAAATCTTTATTTGTCTCGCCGCTCGCATATTAATCGCGTCGCCTGCAATCATTGGCGCTAAACTTCCCCCCACCCCTCCCAGGCCCCCTACCCCCAGGCCCCCTACCCCCATGCCCCCTCCCCCCACCCCGCCCAGGTGCGGTGAGCAAGGACCGTGGATCGCGCACACGCACGCACCCCCTGCGCTGCCAGCCGGTCGAGGTGCGGCGTGCGCACGTGCGGGTTGTGGTAGCCGATGTCGTTGAACCCTTGGTCGTCCACGAGGATGAAGACGATGTGCGGCCGGGGGGCCGGGCCCGTGCCCAGGCACCGCGGTGTCCAGCAGCAGAAGCGGAGCGCCGACACGAGGAGGAGCAGCTGCTGCCGCTGCCGCCACTGCTGCTGGATGGATCCCATCGGCGCGATGTGGGTGAGACGGGAGAAGCGGGGGAGCCACCTGGGGATGGATGGATGGGGGGGGGGGTCGCTTCCTTCCTCTGCCAGACGCTCACTCTACACCTGTGTCTACACCTTCGTTTAACCTGTCTACCTGCTGCCCTGTGTATCTCTTTGTCGACCTAACTATCCACCTATCTGGATAACTAACTTCAATGTGTATACCTATCTCCCTGCCTATCTGTCAATGTGCCTACCTGTTTATATTTTTGTCAACAACTTACTTGCGTTGTTTACCCACCTGCCCGTGTATATACACATAAATATATACCGGTGCAAAAACCTGTCGGTGTGTCTACCCGCCTATATACATAGCTATCAGCTACTCTGTCAACTTGACTGTCTACCCACCTACCTACCTGTTTCCTACCTTCTTACCTGTATATCGATGTTGCTAAATGTTCCGTGCGATTGTTCACTTATCCTGCTTGTGTGTACCCATGCAGCTATTGGTGTTCCTACCTACATAGCTGTGTATTTACCTGCATGCCTACCTGTATGACTACCTGTTGAAATGTCTACCGACCTATGCACCTTTCTGCCTATCTATATGTACCTACTTACCTGCCTATTTGTCTGTCTAATTATCTACCTGTCCACCTATCCACCTGTCTGCTGCCTGTCTGTCTGTATACATACTCGTCTGTATTTTTGTTTTACTACCTCCTTACAAATTAATATATTTTACTGTCTATCTACCTGTATAAAAGTTGATCTACTCACCTGTTAGTGTACCTACGTTTCAACTTACCTACCTACTCACCTGTCTGTCTACCTGTGTATCAACTGACTTACCCACTCAACTGTCTGAACTTCTGTCTGGGTTGTTGACCCACCTATCTGTATATTTACGCTTATATGCCCAACGAAGCCTCACTGAGGCTCAGGATTCTTTTTTTAGGAGGATCCTGCCAAGGTTTCACAGTAGAGGGGTGGGCGACGATTGTGGCATAGATTCCAAATGTATAAATGTGCGGTACAATTATTTCGGATCAAAGTAAACTTGGACCTTGACACCTATGTCCACGTGTGTGTTTTGTCGGTATGTCTTTCTGCCTACCTGCCTCAACCCTTCCTATTTGGCCTCGTCTGTCCGCATGCCATGTCCAAGCGTCAGCGTGGTATGTGTGAGTCCTGAAAAGCATGTGCGGGGAGGGGGGGGTGGTCGGTTAGCGCGCTGCACTACGAACCCGGCAACCCGAGTTCAATTCCTGCTCACGGCCAACACCAGTGGCGATTATGTGAAACACGGTCCTGCCCTGCCCCCCCCCCCCACCCCTAGGTCGACTCAGCCCCAAATGAGTACCTGGAGACAAAGGCGTCAGGGTCGTGGTACCAGCCACTCACCACCGAGTGTGCCGTGCCGGCCTTCATATGTGCTCGCTAACAGCGCTTGCCCTTTTTCGATTTAAAGCTTTCGTGACTGCAGGGATTCATCTTCTTGGTTCTTTCGGTAAAGTCACGTAGAAGGGAAATAATAAAATAATAAACATAAAACATAAAATAATTCTCACGACGTTTCGGCCACAACACAAGCAGCCGTCCTGCTTGTGTTGTGGCCGAAACGTCGTGAGAATTATTTTATTAAGAACCAAGAAGAAACGCTTGCCCTGACTGCCTGGCAAAGCTATACGGGGACCTTTGTCGTTGGTTATCTCGTGTGGATTAAAAACACAAGCTCCTGCCTCTGCGCTGACAGAGGTCAATCGCCCCGCCACACTTTGGACAGGGGAGTGATGGATGATGAGCCGGGTGAGAGAAACGAAAGAGCGCCGTCAGTGCCGGTCGGCTCGACAACACCACGCGGAGGGGTGCGAACGCCACGCGTGCACACGCGCTCGTGCACGCTTCACGTCTGTGCGTGACAAGAAACCACGTGAACGGGCGCTCCCAGAGGCATACGTCAGGAGCGCCACGGTGGCGAGCTGTTAACTCCCTCGCCTGGTATGCAGGAGGTCGTGGGTTCGATCCCGATCCCAACCCGGACGCCTGCTATATATTTGGAGTTTGCGCCTCGATCTCTCCCCGTGGTCGAGTGAATTTATCTCCGGGTCCTCCGGTTTTCCCAAAGACTTTTAGAATCAACAAGAATTTAGAGTATTGGCTGCTATAAATGTCCACGTGATAAGCTGCTTCAGTTGAGCTATTACTTATGGACAGGTCGCTTCTGAAAAATCGCTATATAGCTCAGTGGGCCTTGCCGGATCAAATAAATATTGTTAAAGCCTTTATTTTAAGTTCACTTGCTTGCTTGCTTGCGCGCTTACGACCGTGCAAATCTTTCGGTCGTTTTAACCCACTTCCCGTGATCCAATCGAGCTGACATTTTGCACACAGACTCGTTGTGCGTGACAATTTATTTTCGTGAAAAATTTTTTTCCAAAATTTTCCATTTTTTTGGAACATTTTTTTTTCATATTTAATTTGAAATACCAATGTGATAAAAATGAAACTCTTACTCAAGATAATTAAATAAAACTCATGCCACGCATATAAAGGATTTATAGTGAAAAACTTTGTTTTTACGGGTTAATTTTTTTTTCTTTTTTTTTATACGGCAGCAGCGAACTTTGCTGGACGTCCTTGTACTGATGAATCCCAATTATGACAAAGCCACGACAACATAACCACCACACATTCGGTCACCTCTTTAGAGCTGAAGGTGGGGATACGGCTGAGATGTTTTGCGCACGCAATTCGCGCCTTTGCGTGTCGTTAAATCAGCAACAACATCCGTCATGGGCCGCTAAGTGACGGTGACGTCACCACGGTGTTTGTGCCAGGCTAGGTGTACTTTGAGGCCACATAAAGTGTCTTAAGGCTCGCCGACAGGTCACGGGACAGACCCAGGTGCCAGGAGTTGACGGAGATGATTGGCAGATGCACCACCTGTGCTCCCCACTGTGCCACCTCTCCGTGTTATCTGCCCGGCGCTCTGCTCATTGTTGTGAGCATCGCTCCTCTGCCCACCACTGTTATTGGAGAGCGACTGCCTCCAACTGCCCAGCAGCGTCCTTCACGAGCCTCCTCCACCCACAGAAGACGATCTTGACACCGCTGATACCGGTCATCTGCAAATCCAATAAGCTTCGCATTCTTCTGTATCATATCAGCCCATCTCTTCTTTAGCCCGTGCCCCGCCCGTTTAGCCCCCTCTATCTGGCAATTCAAAGGCTGCTTGGACATGCGGTGGCTGGGCATGGGGGCTGCATGACTCAAACAAAGGTAGTTTCCCTGCCGGATGAGCTCACCGATGATGGGGACTGTGTCCAGATCTCTCAAGGATCTGTGAGCACCCCACACAATCCAGTCTGTTAAACCCAGGATGGATCGATCGCTGGCGTGCCAGCCTAAATGTTTCAAACCGGCCCAGATGTTCCATCAAAGGGGTCTACTTTTGGAAGCAAAAAATACGCGAGAGCATAATTGTGGCCGAGATGATCCAGAGCTTCGTTTGGCGCGATGTACCAGGAAGCTTCCACACAGCAGCGTGGCATAGCTTACGAAAATGTAATGCGCTTGACTAATTCGGAGTGAGACCTCTCTTACCCAAGCGAAGGTGGTCATAGGCACACTAATCAGTTATGGAATCGCATCCACTCTCTCCACAACTGTACCATTACTCAAGCGGGAATTGAGAGGGTAAAGTATCTGATGACAAAAAGATACCCAGGCAGGTGCTTTGTTCTAGTTGGGGGCTGATGGTAAGGTCCCGCATCTCTCCGTGGCATGTTCTAGGTTCAGCAGTAGCGTCTCTAACTCTTGAGAGCGAGTAGTGATGAATAATTATCAAATAATCAACATACGTGACAATAGGTAGCCATCCCTATTGTTACATATGTAAAGGGGATCCACTCAATGTATCCGCACCAGACGAATATTCATTCCTCTGGTACAAACAAAGGAAAACATCTCAAACTACGTGGTCAAAAAAGATAAATGAATCGTGTTTATGCCAGAAGACATCCCTGTCGCATCCCAACGTGAAAAGGAAATAACTCTGACTCCCGGCCATGAAGCTTAACCCGGGAGTGATGGCCCCAGATAGCTGGAATGGCTTTTCCCATCAGTCAGCATTTCTGGGGGGTCTGAACTGGGTACCCAATGCAGCCGTAGCATGTGCGTGAACCGCAGTCCCATTCCCACTCGACACCACGAGGACTTGGGCAAGATGCCAACGCCAGCTGCAAGCGATGGAACTCCGCTTGAAACTTTCAACAGCGGTCTAAGATCAGGATAGTAGGACCACTTTCAAAGAAAAATATCCCCCGTGTAGCCTGTACCAGACTGTCGGGGCAAGTGCTGTTAGCGAGCACCTATGAAGGCCGTCACGGCACACGAGGGGGTGGGTGGCCAGCTACCACGGTCGGCTGCCTTTGTCTCCACAATGCTGATGTTTACGCACCGCGCCAGATACTCATTAAAAGCTGCCCAGGGTTCTTCGTCCGTGCGTGACTGTGTGTATGACAGTGCAACTTAGGCGTCTATGCGACTGTTAAGACTACGTGTGTAACATGATGGTGTGTGTGGGGGGGGGGGTGTAATGTGCGTGTGTGTGGGGGGGGGGGGGTGCAACAGTTAGCGCCCTGCGCTACCAACCCGGCGACCCGCGTTCGATGCCCGTTCATGGCCACCAACACCAGTGACGATTATCTGAACTGGTTCTGGGCCTCCCCTAGGTCGACTAGGCCTAAAACGAGTACCTGGTGCGGTGTGTAAACATCGCCACTGGGGACACAAAGGCGGCCGGGCGTGGTGTTGGCCATCCACCCCGTCGTGTGCCGTGCCGGCCTTCATGGGTGCTACTCGCTAACAGCACTTGCCCCAACAAGCTGTTCAGGCTATACGGGAGATCTTTGTCTTTGTTTTGTGCAACCGTCTTCGTCGCGTGTCTATGCGAAATTGTGTTGGGACTGTGACTGTGTGTGTGATGTGCGTGCGTGGCACGGAGCGCAACTATGCCAATGCAATGCGTTACTCGGCGACACGTGCTGCACACAGGCAGAAGCGCATCTTGAGACCGTACAATGACAAAGATCCCCCGTTTAGGACTTAGCATACTGTTGGGGCAAGTGCTATGGGCGAGCATCCTTATGCAGACCGCCATGGCACACGCGCACAAGGGGGTTGTGTAGTTGACACCACGCCCGGCCGCCTTTGTCTCTCCACCTACGGGAGGTCCAGCGCCGGTACATATATTCGTCACACATGTTGGCCGCGAGCGGGAATCAAACACTCTTGGACTACTAAGGGTCACCGGGTTCCTAGGGCAGTGCAATAGCCTCTGCGCCACACACCCGGAGAGACGTACAAAGACAAAGGATGCCCCGTATAGCCTTAGCAGTCTGTCGGGGCAATTGCTGTTAGCGAGCACCTATGAAGGCCGGCACACGGCACACGAAGGGGTGAGTGGTCAACACCACGCCCAACCGCCATTGTCTCCCCAGTAGCGATGTTTACACACCGCACCAGGTACTCGTTTGAGGCTGAGTCGACCTACGCATGTGCACACATCCTATAAACAAACATGTACGTATGTAGTGACATCGCGGGATGTCATCGTGCTATGCCGGCCCGAGAGCGGCACGGCGTGCGATGTCACGACATCGCTGACACCATTATGATGTGGGTGTAGTACCGGCCCTAGAGGGGCTCGGTGAGCGCTGGTTGATAGCGCTAGCTGGCACCAAGCTTGTCGTGCAGTGCCAGCCCTACAGGATAGGGTGTAGGTGTGCCGGGGTTACTAAAGACCATGGCACTCTGGTTGAGGGGGGAGGCCGAGACACCCCTCGCCTTCCATAGCGAACTATTGGCGCGAGCAAAGGCTGCCTTCGCGAAGATGGACCACGATGGAGTCGATTCGCTAGTCCTTGAGAGATTGTTGACGTTGGCAAAGGACCTCAACATCATCCTGCCGGCTGTCGGCAAAGACGACTTGTCTTCTCTCAAGGTTGCAAGATGCATCCAGGCGCACCTGCTCTTGCAACAGCATAAGGGGTTGTTGGTCGTGAGGTGCGGGATACACCCGAAGATGTGGAACCCGTCCAAGCCTGCGCTTCCACTCAAAGCGGAGGCTGGCGGGGGGATGGCATGGTGCGATGAGATGAACAACCGTGCGAGCACATGCGTCGCCC